ATATATATATATATATATATATATAAAATAGAAAAATATATATATATATTGATGTAACGTTAATTTCTGCTTTGTTCTGTAATGCACACGCAAAAAATATTTCTTCACTTTGATTCGCATTTTTGCATTTATCGAGCTTAGAAAAAAAAAAAAAAATGTTTTTGCGAAGACATTCTCTCGATTGAAAGAAGAAATATTTTCAGTTTTTCTATTTTACTGTACTAACAAAAACGCTTGCTTAGAAGACATAAGCAATATATTTAGCATTAGAACTATATATATATAGGTATATGACTTAACTTGTTCTCATATTTTCGAGGTTCTCATTCTATGCATAAATTGTTTTTCTAACAATCTCGTGTGTAATTCATATATATTCAATTACGGCGATATATAAAATTTTTACAGTAAGTTTTACACACAATTATATACATATGTGAAATAATATTAATTTACTCATCTGCACAGAGTCAAAATATCGTCCGATAACATACATTTCGATATATATTATGAAATAAATGCTAAAAACAATTCTATGCCTCTAATGGATATTTTTCATAGATATAATTTCAGAGAGAAAAAAAAGTAGAAATTAAATAACATGTTATTTCATTTACGTCGTGCATTATAGGTGTGTTCAACTTTTTAGCTTTATTTCTGTTCTCTCGTGTGTGTCGATTCGAATTAAACAAAAAGATACATAGACATACGGGGATATGTTTCACGAGATTTAAACACATCGTATATATATATCTAACTTTTACTTCAGACGCTAATACATATACCGCTCTCTCCTAATAAATGTCCTAAACTAAACTTGCGACTCTACACATGGATCACGCCAAAAAATTCTATATGTTTTCAAAATCTATTAAATTTCTAACGACGGTGCAGTGAGATAAAAAAAGCAAAATGATTAAACTAAAGGGAGTTGGACTTGAATAATGTTGAAACACAAGTGTGGGGTTGGCTACTGACGGGGCCTCAGGTGAGCCGTTGTTTTGTAAGATTTATTATATATTTGCATGGCTCACGTTTATATATTATATATTATATATACATACTTCTTACGTTTATTTTCCAAGTGTAGGAATTTTTGAAGTTTATTTTTCGATAGCGTAATATGTGATTCTGCAAGCAGCTACAATATATGTTCTCATTAGTGACAAATTCATTTTTTTAGTATCTTTCGCAGAGCATTCACGTTTAATAGATAAATTACGTTTTATTATTATAATTTGTGTAAAAAATTTATATTTTTTTAAAATGTTTATTTATTCTTTTTTAATTTTTAATTTTTTTTTCTTTTATGTCTGCGACCGTATTTTCGTGCATGCGTAAAAAATAAAAACGTATAAACATTTACTTGCAGAAGATACATGTTCTTCTGTGTGTGTACTATCTTTCAAAGAGAGAAGAAGAGCGTGCAACGCAACCTGCCATTTTTATAGTGTCAGTGTGTAGGTTTGGTAATTGTTAGAAAAACAATTTAAAGAAGAAAGTAGGCGATGCCTAGAAAGAAAAAAAAAACTGTAGGACTATTTTGTTGGTGGTGGTACGTGGGGTTATCTTCAATATTTCTACTAACGTAACGTGTATACTCTTACTAAATTCTTTTTATTGTCATATTATCTCACTTTTGCTATATCTCTGTCTTTCTTTTGCTAGTAGATATTATTGAACTACGTTAGTTCTCATTCATTTTAAATGCTGATAAGCGTTCCGCATATCGAAACGTAAAACTTGTGAAATATCATAGTATCGGATGATATGATATTGATATAATATTGAATATTTCTTTGAATTACCAGATATATGATATTCGTCTTGATAAATGTTCAAACAAACTAAAATGGAATTCGCGTAAAAGAACTCATATCAGCATCATCGGAGAATGTGGAAATTGATCAAGTAGTAGTAGAAGCGCGTCCACTAGAGTTACATAGTGGTTGTCGAGAACATTCGTAAATTTCTTTTGCATTAGATGTTATTTGATCATGTTGCGCTATGTTTTCAACACTTGGAAAGTAAAGTGTAATTCTTATCTCTTTCATTACATTATAAATATACAGTGTTTATCTCAAACATTTATGTTTAATATGCTATAACGTTGAACTAAAACTACTTTAAGTATATAAATTTTCTACGAACAATATTTAAATTTTTAATTCAGAAAACGGATGACTCCAGATATTCAAAATTTCAAGAAGTGGACAAGGCAGTTGGAGTCAAAAACACAGTTGTTATTGTGTATAAATGTAATAATGATGATTTTCTTTATTTGATAGTGTTAATAAAAATGACGTTTCGACCATAGTTTTTGGTCTTTATCAAATTCGTTCTACAAGAATTGATTACAAAAAAAAAATTAACAAAAAATAATGTATGGAAATACTATTAACAAATTATGAAAAAGTGAAAACGCATTGTAAAATTATAATTTGTTGACTTACAGAAATTTGCTGTTCGCAAAAACGTCGATCAAGATACAAATTCAAGCTGTTATATGGTAGTGATCGCAGATAAGAGTGTTACTTAACTGAATAAATTTTGAAAACTATGATCGAAACGTCAATTTTATTAACACTATCAAATAAAGAAAATCATCATTATTACATTTATACACAATAAACAACTGTGTTTTTGACTCCAACTGCCTTGTCCACTTCTTGAAATTTAAATTTTTGTATCTAAACTATGTGCTGTATATTTATATATGTCATATAGATGTAGTCATGCAACTAGTTCTTCTGCTTTTTTATATATATTTTATTTATATATATATATAGTTTATACAAGTCATACAAAATATAGAAAGACATAAAATATAAGAATGTTTTGTAATTTTTTATTTTTTTTTTTTTTTTTTTTTTTTTTTTCAATATATCAAGATCGGATTTTCTCATGTATTTCTCGATTGATAAATTTTGATTCACATAAAACTATATTTTCTTTCATGCAAATTTTAGAATACATTTGTAAGTATTTTTAGATTTCGATTTTAGCGAAGAGTGTGTAAAACAAAAATTTATAGTACATTAATTCCATAGACACAAACGATATAGTTTGTTTTTGCTATACAATACTATAAAAGGTTTTTGTATATTTATTATTATAAGAAGTAGCTTTTTAGTTATATACGCAAGTTTGTTTTATTGTCTCACATTACGGGTATCCACAACCAACAGGGTTTCTTCGCAGTAGAAGAGAGAAGCGAAAGGAAAAGAAGGCGAAGAAGAAGAAGGACCTAGTGGAGACGAGTAGCAACAAAGAAGAAAAGTCTGACCTGTCAGTATATACACGAACAGCAGACCTAGTGCACACGGAGTCAGTTTTATCATCAGTAATAAAAAGTCGATTCGTGCTGTGAAATTTTTTATACATATACGTTTTATTATTGAAAGATAAAAATTGAACATTTGATTTGTCAAATCTCTCTACTGCGTTAAAATAATTTCATTTACACATAATTTTTTTATATTTATTTGAATTATATTAAACATTTCAATTTTTCAATTGTTTCACATTGTGTAACACACATCGTATGTTTGCAAGTGCAATAAGATCAGGTTCTTAGCATGCTTCTGTCGCAAGGGAACTTGTTGTGTAATGCACTGGGCCTGCTGGAACTTACAAAAGTATATTATTTTAATTATTTTTGTCACGGACGTAACAGGGAGGACAAGGACGACAGCAGAAAATCGGAAACGCCCACGCCGGAAGTAGACGAGGATGGTTTTTGCATCAGGCCAAAGCCGGATCCGTGGGAAAACGAGAAGGGATTTTATTCGAGCTCGGACACGGATTCGGAAGACGAGAGAGAACGCAAGATTCGAGTGGAGATAAAACCTTTGAGCAACGGCGGCGCACCCATGAGCGCCAGTGTAGACGAACTGAGAGCGACAGTAGAAAATTTGTCCTTATCACCTGCACCAACAGTAAGCCATTTTTTTGTCACAAGTTTTTATTTTTTCTCAATTCTGTTGTTATCTTGAAAAATTCACAGTACAATCATCTTGTTTATTTGCGTGTGTCTGACAAAACGTTTGTATTCGAACATAGGGACGTAGGGGCTCGAATACTGATTCTGATCATCATATGAAAAGGTCTCAGTCAGTGTCACAACAATTAGGAGGTAAGCCAAGCTCAGATTTACTTGGCCTAAACTTGTTCAATCCTAGCAGTACGCCGTCGAGCGCGTCAACACCGACAGGCAGCCATCCTTACGCTCCGCTGCAGAGTCCACCGCCGCTATCGACGTCGCCAACCCCATCGCAGCCACCGCCACCGCAGTCTGCACCGCCTACTACACATCACCGATTCCCGGGTAAGTCCCGGAAGCAAATGAGTTTGTTTATAGCTGCAAAGAAAAACAGAGAGATATATACATGTATGCGTATACTATGTCACATAACATTAAGGTATTACCCACACGTCCCTGCGGGCGCGGGGAAGCGGAGATAGTTCTATCTCACTCCAATTGAGGAAATGGCAACGTCGCTCTTTCTTATACCAATCATAAAATCGCTCGTTTTCTGTGTTATTTTAATTATTACTGAAAAACTGTACGGTACAGGCGTCTGAGTTTTCACACATATTTTCTTTGTAGTTTAAAGAAGCTGTAGTAAATATTTTTAGCCAGATCTGAAAATTTGAACTCTAGATATTTAGGTAAATGTGCACGTGATTTCCTCATTCTCCCTATCACTTCCATGTTAAATCGTGCGAAATTCGTTTTCGATTTTCTCAAAAACTGTACGGTACAGGCGTCTCATTTTTCACACATATTTCCTTTATAGTTTAAAGAAGCTGTAGTAATATTTTTAGCCAAATCTGAAAATTTGAACTC